GAAATGATCACCAACAGCAGCGCTGTTCACGATAGCTCAAACACTTCCGTACTACACCGCCGCGGGACCCTAGAGCCGGAGTCTTAGCTCAGGTCAAGCCTGGGCTAGCACAACCAACTCACCGGCTCCAGCCGCGCTCCCCGCACCGAGGCCAGCCGCCGAGGCTGCAGGACATGGGAGCGGTCGGGGGACCCGTGTAGATTACGAGTTGTTTCAAGCTTCAGGCACGAGAACCCTCCCACTCAGCCAGCGACGCAGAGCCTCCCGACACACCAATCAAGCCTTCTCAGCTCCCAGTGCATGACCTACTTTTACGGATAAGCACATCCACGAGCTTCAGCTGTTTGGCCGCTGTGCTACCGCGAATTAGCACACGTTCCAGATTCGTGGCCTTGCTCAATGCTTCTGCAGCGGCCAGCTGCCACACCTCGTCCTTATTAAATGCTTCTGAAAGATGGACAATCAGCTGGGCCTCCTGGGCCTCCTGGTCCATGGCTTGCGCTTGTGGCGCGCTAGCGACACGGTAAAGTACCGTACTGATACGAAAGGTTCGCGCCACACCTTTCGTTTTGGGCCACGAAGTGTGTCACAGTGGAAAAAGCTCTATGGAGAAAATTATTTACTTGTCGCGAAAATGTGTGGCACGAATGTGTTGTACGCCGTGTACATGGTGTAGAACAGCCAGAACTGAGTTCTTACACGCCAGAACTGAATTTTTCATATAGTTATAGCTTCCTTTTATTGTAACTGTTGTTTGCTGGACATCCTGGCACGCTACGTGACAATGCGTTGACCATGAAGCCCAGACGACCCAAGCAGCCTTTTTGCCAAAGCTTGCTCGTGACACTCCTGTTGAGCTCAGAGCAGGCGTTGCTAATATTAATGTTGCTCCAGAGGTCTTGGCTGCTAGAGCCGAGCGTGAAAACGCGATGGCAGTTCAAATTGCCCGGCAGCGTGCCGAAGCAGCCGCTGAGGCGGGCAACGCCATCATGGAGGAGGTAGTTTCTGTTCTTCTGCGTAAACATATAGTAACCGATATGTACAGCAGTTTGGGAGTTTTGATGCTGTCGCTCCTTGTTGTGGCTTCCCTGGAGCCCCGCGAAATGTGTGTTCATGTAAACAAATGTGTGCCATAAAAACTGACAGCCCTCGCGAATTGATGTAACAAAACGAAAAATTCCAGCTATATTTTTGGGGGTACCCGCGAAAGGTGTGGCGCGAACCTTTCGTATCAGTACGGTAGCGCTTTCGCAACCGATGCAAGGGCTGCTGATCTATAGTTGTGAGCCTCCTTTCTGCTGACCGCTCGTTCGTGCGTTGCGGTGTTGGATGCGAGAGTGCTGAAGCACAAAAAGGTCTGAAGGACGGCTACACGCTGTATGCTGAGGCAGGGTTTACGTTTGACCGAAGTTTAAGAGAGGTCAAGTTCTTGGGCTCAGTTCAGCAACGTGCAAATGTCGCCCGCGATGGGGACGGCGTCAGTCCCCAAAAAAATTGCGGATTTCTGAACCTCAACACCTTTGATGCGTATTATGGCTGCTTGCATAACAAATTGCGGGATGCGAGGCGAAGTGCATTCTTACGTACTTCTGAAGTCGCAAGTCGCAAGTTGCCAACTAACTCCAGGGTGGGGCTCACTCCCGCCGGAACTTCGGAGGTTTCGGAGCGGAAAGGGAGTCTCTGGTCTAAGCGTGCATCTCAAATGTCAATTTGTCAAGCAGCAGCTTGGATGTGGTCCCTGGTCTGAAGGAGGAGGGTCATACGTATGATGTTAACAGTAGCTGTGGTATAGAGCTACTAATTGTCGAAATGGAACTGGCGTCCTCGCCCCCCACAGAAAGCGGGGCTTGCCGAATGGAGACCATGTCTAAGTAGATCTGGACCCTGAGTGCTGCTGACATTTGCTTCAATTGTGTAGGAGGCCACAAGGTCGCCAGAGCGTGCTCACAGTGAACCTGTACTGCGGCTGCGAAAAAGTTTCCGATTTTTAGCCTTGTTGCGAAATCTCGCGAAGCCCCCGGTATAATCTCGAAAACCTCGAAATGCTGCAATTTGTTATGTCTATGGCGAATGTCATAAATGGACCTTAAACGCCTCAGGTCACACAGGAAGAGAATTGCATCCTTTGTGACCTATATGTCTTCATAATTACCATTACAATACTATAGGAACAATTTCCAATTGTTAATTCACGCAAAGCGCACCGAGCATTTTTCACGAACTCCTGCAGCTATGTATGTACAAGCCTGGTGATAATTTTCGCCATAGAAACGATACTTATACTGTTCTGTTCCTAGATAATGCTGGCTTGCCTTGGGTGATGGGGCGTAGCCGCGGAGCTTCAGCTGGGCGCGGTGGCACCTCGCGCGGTGGCCGCAACGCTATGTGAACACAATTCAGAAAGCCGCCCCGAATCGGACTCCCAATCAGACTCTCAATTGGACTTCATGTGAACACACCCTTAGGGAAGTGTCACGATATTATGCTTGGGCGTGGTCTGGCTGCTGCATGGTATCCTGGTTGATTTTGCGAATTGCATCACATACAGCTTCACTGCTAAGCAGAAGCCACGATAAGTTTTACGTAGATGGTTTTACCCAGGACCGGTACTTGTTGCAATTGGTCCGCAGGAAACACTTTCCTAGTTTCTTTCTAGCAATTTCCCTGCCCTGCATTAGCTCACTTCGCGCACTTGATGTCCGTGATGCGGGTGACGTCGGTGATGCGGGTGACGTCCGTGGTGCGGGTGACGTCCGTGGTGCAGGTGACGTCCGTGATGCGGGTGACGTCCGTGATGCGGGTGACGTCCGTGATGCGGGTGACGTCAGGTGATGCGGGTGACGTCAGGTGATGCGGGTGACGTCAGGTGATGCGGGTGACGTCAGGTGATGCGGCACCGGCAGCCAGATATCGGACACAGACTTCATACCATCGCCGATGCTGGGAAGGGGTCCGGCCGCGGCTTCGGTGGCCAGTCGCGGCAAGCCGCGGCTGTATCTGATTGTGCGTCCGTAGGCACCGCCGCCGGCTCCGGATTGCTTCGACGCGTCCTGTCCACTCGCGTTGACACCAACAACCAGGGTGGCGGCGGCGGTGCCGATGGCGGCGGTGAAGAGTGCGTGAACGGGGTCGGCGACAGCGAAGCCACTGCCGCCGCCGCCGCCGATGGTGCCGCCGTTGGCCCCTGCAGCGACCCGTCCGGCCGCGGCTGCAGCAGTGGTGTTGATTCTAGCGGTGTTGGCGACATGCAGGCTGAGCTGGGTCGTATGGCCCAGGAGCTGCGGGCGAGTGTACGGGATGTGGCCATCAGGCTGGAAGCGGTCATCGGTTCGGGGTTACTGCTATTGCTAGTGCTATTGCTACTGCTACTGTTACTGCGACTGCTATTGCTACTGCTATTACTACTGCTATTGCGACTGCTATTGCTACTGCGACTGCTACTGCAATGTTGTGGATTGTTAGTAAGAAGGCCCTCTCGGTGCCCCCTCCCCTCCTCCCTCCCTCCCCCGCCGCCCTCCCTCCCCGGCCGGCAGTTCATCTTTGGTGTTTCCTTGCCTACGATCATGATTCTCCTCCCTCCGTTCCGTATGTCCTGATCAGGCACCTGGCAGGGGCTCTCCGTGGCGGTGAAGACGCTGGTGTTCTCCGCGTCCGACGACAACAGGCGGAGGTCGTTGCAGGAGGCGGCGCTGTGTGCCAGCATCAGCCACCCTAACGTGGTGGTGAGGGGGGGGAA